ATAGAACAAGAGCTTGAACAAGGAGTTGTGTTGCATGTTCTGAAAGAAAGGGCCTGATCTTCCTAATGTTGTATAAAGCAAATCTGCAGGACCGGGCAGTTTTAGCAATATGGTCTGAGAAATTCAGCTTATCATCAAATGGGATGGTTTCCCGAAACCAAGGTTTCTAGCTGTTTTTGAAGGAGTTATGGTTGATGGTGAAATTTTGATAAAGTGATGGGTTTGTTGAAACCACAAGCAGTTCTGTCTTAGCCAGGTTGAGTTGAAGGTGAAGAATGTGGCAAAGTCGTCAGCTGTTAGAGAATAACTAATAACATATGCATGGCAAAATTACGCCATTGCGGCTTTGGCAGAAGTGTGCGTGATCCCATTTCATGTGGTGGTGTGCACAGCATTTTTTTGTAACTTAATGCATGGCTCGGTTTCCGAAGATGCATGATTTTGAGCGGATTCTGGTCGAGCAGGTACGTGTGTACCAGCATCTTATTGGCACCCAGTTTTCCTATGTCCAAATTAATTGTTTACATTTACAAAATGAGCCTACAATTGGAAAGGGCCACATCCTCTATGTGGACATCTGGTTCAGCAGTCCATTGCTGTTCCAGCACGTCCTCTCATGGAACGGGGGCCTGTGAGACAACAGGAAAGAAATGCCAGTTTTCACTGGAAAAATGTTGAAGGGACACATTGAGTGCAGACAGAACGGAACACAGCTGGTGGTAAAGTGTAATGATAGGAGAGGTGTTGTAATACTTACCATGGTACACTCCTCCATGATGTCAGCCACAGGGAAGGTTGACCATGTCACTGGTGAGAGGAAGGTCAAGCCTCACTGTGCACTTGAATATAACAAAAAGATGGGGGCAGTCGACAGGACTGACATGGTAAAATGCTTTCTTGAGTCTGCAAGGAAAACAACAAAGTGGTATAAGAAATTCTTCATCTACTTGACGCTGAGCCACTACATAGTTCACCGCCAACTGTCAGGTTAGAAATTTACACCGCCATCTAAAATAACCATAACTTATATTTCATGCACTTTACACTAATTATTTACAATGCACATTAAAGTTTTGTGTTCAAGTCCACAACCATATTGTCCTATACTTAGGGTGCTTTCACACCTGGCTCATTTGGAACATTTGTTTCAGAACCTGGTGTGTTTTTTCCCTTGTTTCGTTTCGTTTAGGCATATAGAAACACAACAATCATGCTCAGATCTTCAACAAAACAATCACTCTCAGATCCGACCCATGAACCAAGCATTATCATAATTCATAATGGCAAATGTGTTATATAACGAGCAGCGGTGTCTGATTATGTGAGTTGAGCACATTAGTTCTCGCTAATTAAAAACCATAGAGCACTTCTAAACCCTAAAATGTTGTGTGATTGCTCTTCTCTGTGCAGTGCAAGAATACTGACAAAGCCTTGATTCCCGCACTATACAGACCGGGAAATAGTGGGAACTACACTGCTCAAAAATTTAAGGGAACACTTAATCATCACAGTATAACACCAAGTCAGTTAAATTTAAGAGATATCAATCTGGAAGCATAAGAATCAGTTTCACCTGCTTTGGTGCAAATGAAAGTGACAAAAGGTGCACTGAAGAGGTAACAGCAAGACAACCCCCAAAAAGGGAATGATTTTGCAGGTGGTGGCCATAGACAGTTGTCCTCTCCTTATTCTCCCTGACTGATTTGTCTTTAGTTTTGTGTTTTGTTAGGGTCCTTGTTACTGTCTGTAGTATGAGGCAGTACTTGCAACCCAATCAGGTTGCACAGGCAGTCGAGGTCCTCCAGGGTGGCACATCCATACGTGCCGTTCCAAGGAGGTTAGGTGTGTCTCCAGCACATTTTCAAGAGCATGGAGGAGATACTGGGAGACAGGCCATTACATGAGGAGAGCTGGACAGGGATGTAGAAGGGCAACTGCGCCTACTGCTTCCCAACGACTGAGCCAAAGTAAGCCTACATGAGCCAATCGCGTTTCTCTCCTGTGGCTTGCTTTTGACCAATCACGTTTCTCTCCTGTGGCTTACTTTTGACCAATCGCCGGCCGCTATTATTGTCATCTTTGCAATAGGTAAGGCTATGGTTTACTTCATTATTGAATATAGGTCATTATTTGTTCATATACAGTGTGTATTTTTGGTGCCAATGTAGCTAGCTAGCATTTATAGCACGTTTTCTTCAGTACCTGTGAACCTGTAACTTTTCCCATGGTAAATGCAGAAAAAAACATTGGCCATCCGCTAATTAAGCTATATTGCTGTCACCAATGATGTGTGTATTGTGTGCAAAGCCATGGTTTCTGGGCCCTATGACTAAACATAATAATTAAACAAAAATGACTTATATTTGGTAATAATGCTAGTGATCTCATCCGAGCCCCCACCCCCCAAAAAATATAATCATAGTAATTATTAATACTTGTCCACAATTACTGCTTCGCAGTAACTTGGCATTTTACTATCAAATGCAACAGCCATCCCATATTGTTTTTGTTAATGTTCACTCAGAGACCTGTGCCAGTTCGTCTCCATCAGCGGAAACAGCGAAAACACCAGATCTTCCACATCATCAGCCACCAGCTGAGCTTCCAGGTCACTGGAAAGATCATCTTCCACCTTTCCAGCATGAGTGGATCAGGAACACACTATTTAAGGCCAACCTGAGAACCGGCAAGCCAGAACTAGTGTCCCAGATGAAGCTTTGGTGGTATCCTCCTCAGCCCCCTTTAATTCACACATTTTAATTCATGGCATTTCATGTGGCGATTTGCTGTAGGTGTCACGACAGAGGCTCATCCGCTCTACGGGATCTTCATGGAACGTCTGGCAGAGTGCATCTTTCAGTGGGATCCAGAGGATGTGGCCGCTCTTCGCCGTGCAAAGGAGGGTGAGCTGATGGCAAAGAAGACTGGCCACATCTCAGAAAAGGCGGTCAGTGCTCGCATTACCCGGAGGGAGTTGGCACTGCACTGCCGGAGGAGGACCAGGGGGGTGGAGGAGACCACTAGATTGATTGGATCACTGATTGATCTGTTTGACAGTGCGGACGGGAAGGACACTCTGGGAGTTCCTCTGCTGGACCACGAACGGATCCAGCAGATATGGAAAGAACAGTGTAAGCACATACAGTGTATCCAAGACCCAGCAAACTTTCCGCTCTACATGAAGACAGGGACACTGAAGAAAGGTGGTGTGGAGCTGTGCTGCTACAGGTGTGCCCGTGGCTCTACCTGCTTGGAGTCATTCCACCTCCACCTGTACCGTTTTATTCCAGGTATTACATACATATGAATTACTAATTTTTCCGTTAAAAAAATATTATATTAACACTGTAACTGCTTCAATTACTTTAAAGGGGTCATATTATGCTTTTTCACTTTTTCAACTTTAGTTAGTTATGTCACATTAATAAATGTCACACTCTACAGTAATATTACAGTTCTTTTCTGATGTCATAAGCATTGACAAAGCTGTCTTGCCTGACAAGTCACTAGTACTTCAGGTTATAATAACAATAATTTTTTATGTAATCACATAACTCTGTTACATGTAACCAGTTACTTCACCTCATGTGTAGTACATATCTTATACATATTTGACATATAAAACCCCTTGTTTATTTAACTTTTAGGAACCAGTGCCAGTGATGCGCATTTTCAGGCCTATCTCCTTGAGGGCTTGATGCGTTGGAATGATGACCAGATGGAAGACGCCATAAAAGGAGAATCCTCCATCCGGTCATATAGCAGTGCCATGAGAGAGGCTGTGGACCAGCTTAGCCGAACAGTCTTTGGGAAGCCCTGGGATGAGCGCTATCGCCCTCCTGGAGCATATACAGGCATTTTTTTTTAGTTATCTATTTAGTCTTTAATGTATTAGACAAAATATTAAGAACAAAATAACTTTCTTTTCTCCACTTAATTCTTGTAGGTGAATTGCTGGGAATGGAGTACCTTTACAGCCAGACTGGCAAAACACTGACTCCAGTACTCCAGAACCCAGAGGAGGAAGACAGGCTGGTAGAGGAAGTTGATGACCAGGACCTGCAAGATGAGGGGTTTGAGGAAGAGATCATGGAGGACATCACAGTTCCAGTGCTGTATGAGGATGACCCCTGCCGTCATCTTGAAAGCAGCCCCTCCTCTTTGCCTCTGCCTCAGTCCCCAGCATCACTGGCTGAGCCGTCCACATCATCTGGTGGAGAAGGACAGCATCTTGCCCCTGCCCCTTCAGTGCTGTCACAGCCATCTGACACTGGAAGCAGTCTCTCCGATGAGGCTCAGGTAAGCCACTTTAAGGGCTTTATTTAATTTCAATCTCGTTTTATTCAACATTTATCATCATTAATCTGCATTTACTAGGGAGCAGTCATTGGACACGATGGCATCGCTGGGTGGGAAAAGGTCCAGGGTCTGGCTGGTTACCTGGTGGGTCTTCGTGAGGCTCCTTACCTCACTGACCTGCAGGGGACAGAGGCCATCCCGCTGTGGACAGCTCTCCCTGATATTGATAAACAGTGGGTCAACTATCAGCCTCAGCTGACACATGGGCACTTTAAGGCACCGAAGCGGTCCGGAATCACACTGGGTGTGGAGAGTGTGAAACAGCGTCTGATTGGACGCCCTGGGAGTCCAGCACAGTGGCCCAGCACCAGCCGCTTGGTTGAGGCCATTTGTATGAAGCTGTGACACAAGTCGCCGACCAAGAAGGCTGGAGTTTGCACTCCCAGGTGGTCTAAAATCCTCTCTGATTACTACCACATCCGAGAGCTGGTGCTTAACAGTCGCAGGCTGATGGATGAAACAATGATCCAGCTGTTTGAGCTAAACCAGAAGACACTCATTCAGTGGTAAGCAAGGCACATTATTTACTTCAAATTAACTTGAATACTTCTAAAATTATATATAATACAAGTAATTTATTTTCAGGTTTCAACGGCGGCAGAAGAATCAGGAAATGAGTGTCCTCGCTCAGGTACTGACTCCACCTGACCCAATTGCTGTGGCTGATACGCAGCTTCCTCCGCCGAGGGAAAAATTGGATGAAGCACCATCGACATCAGGCCCAAAACATCAATTTATCCTTCCGCCAAATCGAGAAGGACAGGCTCCTCTTCTGCGACCAGGTCGACAGCCTGCTGCTGTCACCAGGGAGTGCCCCATCGCACCTGCCCCCACAGCATCAGGAGTTGTGCAGCCCATTTCAGCACCTGGGTCATTGTTAGGCACACTAGTCCTTAACCCAGACATGACTGTGTCAATGGTGATTCCATCTTTTGGTGCTTCGACATCCGGTGCAGGCCCATCTCCGCCTGCTCCTGCATCTGCTGCTCCTGTGTCCCGTTACACACAGAGGAACAGGTGCCGGCGGGTCCTGGAGAAGGAAAGCGGAGTCCATAAGAGGAAGTATGTGCGAGGGGTTACTTTTAACATGTGCAGCAAATGTGGGCAGCCCAAAACTAAAGAGTTTGGCCACAGCCAATATGGTAATGCTACATTTTGCTTGCGTGCCTCGAATGGCAAATCTTTAGATGACTGGTTGGCAGAACAGTGCCGGCAAAATAAATGCCAAACTCCACCTCCTCAATAAATAATATCTTTCCTGTATACATTTTGTATATATTACATGGACCCACTCTTTCATATTGTCCTATATATACAGTGGGTACGGAAAGTATTCAGACCCCCTTAAATTTTTCACTCTTTGTTATATTGCAGCTTGAAGGGGGTCTGAATACTTTCCGTACCCACTGTATATATAAATGTATATATGTATGTGTACTAATTTCAATATTTGTGTGTATTCATTTTAATAAAACATTTTACATTTGATGTGTCTTTTGATCAGATAAATTAAATCTGATAAATCATATCAAATCATATCCCACACAAAAAAACATCTTTGAAGAAACATTTTTATTTATTTTATTTAACCATAAACATAAACATGTAATATACTTTTAAAAAAATAATTTGCACAAAATAAATATCAATCAATATAATGATATGTCATAGATAACTAAATGAAGGCGTAGTTGATTGCACACTTAACAATACACATGTAGTCGACAGATGGCACCACGGCTCAGCTGAGACCAACCGTCCTTGGATACTTTGTCGCGCAGACCACAGGTTCGAGTCCAGCCTGCGGAGAGTGACTTGTTTCACATGTAACTGAAACGCATCCATAACGCACAGGAATATAGCCCAAATATTAATGCAGAGGAAATTTGTTGGCTTATTCCTATTTTCTTCCGTAGGAATAGGAGGAGCACTGCCAGAGCCCTAAAAAATAAAACACCAGCAGGCTACTGGTGTGCATGTTTCTTAACAAACTGTCAGAAACAGACTTCATGAGGGCCCGATGTCCTCTAGTGGGACCTGTGCTCACAGCTTAGCACCGTGCAGCTCGACTTGCCAGAACTGGCAAGTCCGCCATTGGCGGCCCGTTTGCTTGGGGCAGTCGTGGCCTAATGATTAGAGAGTCTGGCTTGTAACCCGAGGTTCGAGTCTAGGTACCGGCAGGGGATTGTAGGTGGGGGCAGTGAATAACCAGCGCTCTCTTCCACCCTCAATACCACGACTGAGGTGAGACCCTTGAGCAAGACACCGAACCCCCAACTGCTCCCTGGGCGCTGCAGCAAAAATGGCTGCCCACTGCTCGGGGTGTGTGTTCACGGTGTGTGTGTTCACTTCTGTGTGTGTGCACTTGGATGGGTTAAATGCAGAGCCAAAATTCTGAGTATGGGACACCATACTTGGCTACACTTCACTTTCACAGACGAGAGCAGGTTCACACTGAGTACATGTGACAGACGAGAAAGAGTCTGGAGATGCTGTGGGGAACGTTATGCTGCGTGCAACATCATCCAGCATGACAGGTTTGGCAGTTGATCAGTAATGTCCTTGGAGGGTTGCACAGACGTCCACGTGCTAGACAATGGTTACTTACATTGATGATGAATTTCATGCAAGTTGGATCAGCCTGTAACTTCAGTTTTTTACATAGATTTTTGGTTTGATGTAAGAATCCAGCTCTGTTAATTTTGGTTTCCATCGATTGTTAAGAACAAAATTATGACAACAAAGTCTGAAAATACCCTTCGACTCTACATTCTTTGTAACTCCCCACAAATGTAATTTACTATCAACAGGACAGGTCATCACTTCCCTGGAGTTCAGGAGAAACCTGATGAGAGGGCAGTATGGTACAACCCAGTGTCTACCAAAAGGGGGCCGTCCTGCTTTGGACAATTCTCTGCGGTTAACAGCGAGGCATTTCCCCGCTAAAGTCCCACAGACAACCGCCCAGGGCAGCAGGACAAGGCGGCACTGCAGGGTCTGCCTCTCCAGCTCTCGGAAGACAAAGGAGAGGCGTCTCACAAAGTACATGTGTGTGCCATGCAACACTCCGTTGTGTGTTACTCCATGTTTCGAGGAGTACCACACTCTAAAAAATTACTGAAAAAAAATCTCTGTCAGTTCTAATAATGCATACAAGTAATTGTAATAATTCTCAATAATGTTTTACTGGTTTCACGGAAGTTTGTTTTTACTCAATCATTCCTGGTAATATTAGTGTTGATATTGCTTTACTATACATGTAAATAATTTGTCATTTCTCAAATGTTAGTTTTTTTTTAATTTTTTTATATATATATCAGTTTTTGTAGTTTTCTGTTCCCTATGTTAAAGTAGTCGACATTAAATGAACATGGTCACCATTTCATGCATTGTGCGTTTCTCTTTCCAATATTAGAAATACAACTGAATATATTATGCATGTTACTAAGAAAGTAAGCAACCCCACAGTGTACATCTGACATTGTGCAGTCTTTCCCTTTATGTGGATGCTTTTGAGCAGCTAATGGTGAATAAGTATAAAATAAATTACTTGTATTATGCTTCATGCTACTTTCAACAACAACCCAACCCTAACTTTAGTGGTGAAGATACAAAACAAAAAACAAACCTCAAACTGTGCACACAAAAAAATAAATATTATTTGATGTCCATAGCAATGTGTCGATCATATTTGCCAAAATAGTACAAAAGCACACCGATATTATGTTCAATACAACAAACCCCCAACTGTTCCCTGCAGCAAAAATGGCTGTCCACTGCTCTGGGTGTGTGTTCACGTTTTTAGGTAAAAGAAAAACACATTCTCTGGGGACATTCTCTGGACCCCCTACAAATTTTTAAGTACTATGGTAACAGTTTGGGAAATTTAGAATATAGAGTCAGAGTCCCTTACATGTGCAAGACAGACTATTTAAGAGAGACAGAAAAATAATCTATAATTGTTTGTGGATTTTAGTATTCAAAATATTATCAGCAGTTGCATTAGTAGTGTGGAGCTATAGGCCATTCAAAGTGTCATAATGTTTTGTCTTTCTGAGTCTAGGGTTGGGCAGGGACAACATAAAAAGTGAAATGTGTCACAAAGAGTCTGAGATATTAGCCCCTTCTCTCTCCACCTCAGCACATCACAAGACCACAACAGTAGGGATTTAAAGAACAATATGTATATTTAAAAGGAAGCAATTAACTTCAGGAGGGGATCAACATAAACAAAAAGAGCAATCTGTCTAGACCCTGCAACTATTCTATGGTGATTATAGAATTAACTGAAAAATTGAGTGTTTACTATCGTCTTATTGCATTATCAACACACTATTTTCCTGCTTAATTCTGTAAAGCTGCTTTGACACAATCTGTATTGTATAACGTGCTATATTAATAAAGGTGACTTGACTTGAATAAAGGCTGTTCTATAAATGTAAACACAAAAGTGATTATCAAAACTGATAAAAGTTCAAAACTGTGGAAAACCACATAACTGCATCCATTGAAAACTAGGAACGTGTAGAGATTTTTGATCCAATAATAAATATATCTGATTTGTCAGAATTTAATGAAATTACTAGCCATCCAGTCTTTGATATTATTAATACACTCTTAACTTGGAGAGTTGTTCAGTTTCTTCATGTTATGTCGATAATATAGAACTGAGTATCTGTGGAATAACATAGAAATCTAATGATAATGTCTCGGGAGAAGCATATACAAGGGAAAAAGCAGAGGACCTAATACTGAACCCTGTGGCACTCCGTAATTGTCTTTTGTTAATTCTTAGCTTTCTTTAAGAGATTTTATCGATGTTGATAAGAGGTTATGAGAGTTACTTAATGTGTTAAAGATCTAGCCCACATGATGTTGGTTTTGATGTACGTTGCTTTGTGCTATTAAACTGGTGTTATTTGCCTTTTTTCACATTAGACCTGATGGCGCCAAAAGAGGAGGGTCAAGAACTGAAAGAAATAGAAGAAAAACATCATGACTTCATGACTGGAGAAAAATAATTTAGTTACTCACAGTGGGAAAAGACTTTGTCACAAAAAAACGGCTCAAAAGACAGCAACTAAAAATCATTTCACCTGCCAATAGTTTTGATCAAAACAGAAATCTTAAAGTCCACATGGGAATTCACACCAGAGAGAGCCCTTTCAGCCAACAGTGTGGAAGAAGTTTCTTTCAAAAAGCAAGTCTTATAAGCCACATGATACTTGATCGATTCTATAATTTTAATTTTAGGGCGTCTCAGCCCCCAATGAGGGTATAATAATATTAAAAAAAGTTATTAAAAAATGTTTGACTAATAAAGTAGAGTGTTAGACTAAGCGTATTGCAGTATTCCACTGTATTGCATAGATGGGTATAACATTTGAGTAATGAAAAAGCCAAATACAAGTCTTCCTGATCACACACACGCACATACACACACCTGTTTACTGTACAAACACAAAATTTTACTGTTTGCATTTCTAGTACAAACCTCTTTAGGCTATACTATGGTATGGAGAAACTTTAGGTTTCTCCTTCTATGCTCAAGTTCTGTCTGTCACTGTCTTTAATTATTTCTGCGCATGACTGTATGGTAGTTAATGCCACATGCACTGTATTATGTTTTATACTGAAGTAAGTAGTAAAAGTACTGAAGTAAACAAAGTAAAATTTTCGATTGAAAATAGCAACATGATCGTTTTATAAAGTATGCGTTCATATGTGTTAAGGGCTACATTTTCGCTGGAGGAAACAGCTGTGGTGTGATGAGGAGTGAACGGAGTGAAAACTTTACAGTAGATGGGAAACCGATTGCTCCCCAATCACATTTTGTAAACTGTATTATGACAAAGAACTGCACAGATAAACACACCTTGTCCTCTGTTTCACGCTCTGCACCGTCACGGTCTGCGGATTGAAGAATGTGCTGAAAGACGGGGAGGTGTCGCCGTTTTCAGATGAAGTTTAACGAGGACTGAGATGGTCACGAATTCGTGTACAGTTTATGGAGCTAATTGCAAATTTTTTAGGGGGGCTGAGTAGAAATTTAGGGGGGGCTAAGCCCTCCTAAAAATGGCCTAGCGACGCCCATGGAGAGGAGCCTTTTGTGTGCCTTCACTGTGGAAAGCCTTGCAAACACAAAGCAACCTATGAGAATCACATGAGAGTTCACACTGGAGAGAAGCCTTTCACCTGCCAACATTGTGGACATTTTTTAACTTAAAGGTAACCTTGAGGTTCACATGAGGCTTCACACTGGAGAAGCCTTTCATGTGCCCTCAGTGTGAGATGTTTCACATATCCAAGAAACCTGAAACGT